CCACCACTTGCCGGTGGAGAGCTTCAAATTTTGACCTATACTCGGCACTCAGAGCCATTGTGCAGTGAGGGATCTTTTCGTGCCAGCATCTACTGCGACACGGGACCTCGGTTTATACGGTCTCATCCGAAGGACCGGTCTCCACGTCCCACAGTGGGATTCGAACCCGCGACGTAAGGATTAACTCCTTACTCCGCGACTCTAGAGCAGACGCTCTACCACTGCGCTACGCGGTCGACGAAATGCATTTACATGTATTTTCAAATGCAAGCATACAGGTGAATAAATTTTCCCCTTCTCTACATGTGTACGAGGGGTGATCAAAAAGTTCGCAAACTAACTCTATATTTACAAAACTACTGCTCAGATCAGAATGGAATTTTGCACACAAATAGTCATAGGCATGTTTTATAAATAACTAGATGTTATGTTATGTTTTGGTCCATGTTTAGGACTTCAAAATGTGAAAATGACGTCAATATGTGAGTGACTTATAACAAAAAATGGGTGACTCGGTCTTACTCAAGCAAGGAACGGCTATTAAGTTTAACGTATATCTTGGAAATCCCTTTGCAGTGGCATATAATATGTACAGGGTTTATGAAGACAAAGGACTTGAAAGAAGTTCAATCATTAATTGGATTGATTGTTTTAGTGAACTGAAGAAAGGGAGATTGTTAAAAATTTAGTTAAAGATCCTCAAGTGACAATAAGAAAAAAATAGTTCAATATCTTAACGATAAAATAATTATTAAATCCCGAAAATATCATTTAATTTCGACTTTAAGCATATCAGATATGATAAAGAGAACGCGCCCATACTTGGTTCACATTAAAAAAAACGACACATCCAAACAGAAGAGTGGTTACCATACTCATTCTAGTAAAAGATATCCACGCATCTTATCGCCGATATTTGGCCATTTTTTGACAAATGACTATTCTTGTTATAAAAAATAACCTGCATGGTAATAAATATAAGACTCAGAAAAATCTTTTTGCTGCTGTGAACAGAACGGTATGGAGCATGTCACGTGACCGCAATGGGCAGAACGGTGGCAGATATGCATTAAAACTGGAGGGGACTATTTAATAACAAGAGGCCCAAGGGCCTTAACGGTCACCTGAGTACAACAATTTAGAGGATCCATAAACTCATAAACGAAGATTTGTTGCCCAATAGCAAGGAAAATAGTACGATTAAGATCATAATAGATGTCTCTATTGTTACCTCTCACATTGGCCTCACTTGGCCTTTGAAGAACATTTAAAAAGATAAGTTATATTTGTTTCATTTTTATTCATCTATTATTTCCAAGTCTACCTGATTATTAAAACTATGAAAGTACTTTTTGCATTATACAATAAATGTTCTTGCATAATTTTCTTATTCTATTAATCTTTCAAATACATTATCTACAGTGATTAATTATCAAAGGTGAATGGCAAAGGTGAATAACTTCACTAAGTAGAATACAAATTAATAGAGCCCTTAATAGAACAAGGACCAGAACACTTCACTAAATGGTCAGGATGTTCAAAATTCTGGTAAAAATACCTTGCTTATTAAAACTTTTACTCTGTTTGCTTCTAATATGCCCTGGAGCAGAGGAGATTTTCGAAGAAATAATGCACTTTCACTATATAACACAGCCCTACCCTAACACCAGAACACATGACCTAGGGTCATGAAAATTTACAAATTTGGAAGAGGTACCCTCATCATCATAACTATGCAATTAGTTGAAGATTTTCAAAGAATTCACACATTTTCACTATATAATCAAAAAAATATTTTGAAAGAAATTATGAATTTTCACTATATAATCAATAGAGCCCCCCCCCCCCCCCTTCACCAGAACCCCTGACCCAGGGGCCATGAAATTCAAAATTTTGGAAGAGGCTGCTATGCTCATCATAACTATGTACTTAGTTAGTTTATTTAATACCCAGGGGCAGAGAAGAAGATTTTCAAAGAAATAATGCATTTTCACTATATAATCAATAGAGTCCCACCCTAACACCCAAACCCCTGACCCAAGGGCCATGAAAATCACAATTTTGGAAGAGGCAGCCATGCTCATTATAACTACATACTTAGTTAGTTTATTTCATACCCAGGAGCAGAGAAGAAGATTTTCAAAGATTTAATGCATTTTCACTATAAAATCAATAGCCCCTCCTCCTAACACCAGAACCCCTGACCCAGGGGCCATGAAATTCAAAATTTTGGAAGAGGCTGCTATTCTCATCATAACTATGTACTTAGTTAGTTTATTTAATACCCAGGAGCAGAGAAGAAGATTTTCAAAGAAATAATGCACTTTCACTATATGATGTATATAGCCCCACCCTAGCACCACAACCCCTGACCCTGGGGCCATGAATTTCACAATTTTGGTAGAGGGCCCATTGCTTATTACAATCATGCCAACAGTTTGACTGCTTGATGTCCAGGAGTAAAGAAGAAGATTTTTAAAGATTGCATTAATTTTGGTGGTTTTAGCCCCACCCCTCAGGCCCCAGGGGGGCAGGGACCATGAAATTCAAAATTTTTGTTCCCCTTCACCCATAGGTGCTATATGCCAAAATTGGTTGAAATTGGTTGAGTGGTTTCAGAGAAGAAGCTAAAAATGTTCAAATGTTAACGCACAATGAACGCCGACGGACAAAAACGGATAGCAATAGGTCACCTGAGTGACTCAGGTGACCTAAAAAAATAATACACACTGAAACATGATTTTATTTCTTTTATGGAAGTTATTCATTTAGTTCGCGAACTTTTTGATCACCCATCGAATTTCATTCACTTTCCAGCATGGAAGTACATGTATATCCTTTCCCCTTCACAGTTTATTCAATTACTGATGTGTCAAGTCTAACTCATATATGTTTATTCATTTATTAGGTAACTGGCCGTTCTGTGCCGTGTCATTACATATATGTAGGCATCAAGTTTGACATCCGAATATTTTACTCCCCGACTACTTTCTTTTATAAAAGGGACACTTTAATTCTGAGCCCCTTTATATATCCCATCAGGGACCAATGGGCCACGATTAGGATTTAAATAAATTTTCAATTCAATCCTCACTTTATAAGGAAGCTTCCACCTTTGTTTTGTCTATTTTGTTTCGGGGTTTTCCCCCCTGACCCCACCTTTCACAATTTCTGATCTCATTATGAAAGAGGCATGGCCATTAACTTACTCCAATTAAGTATGTATTGTGGCAAGTTTGATGTTAGCAATTTGTGCTATGTACAGTTAAATTTGAAATGATGGAGAACCATGAAAATGTGTCAACTGTATGCATGATGTTGAAAACACACAAAAATAGATAACATCACCTGATTTGTGGTAACCCAAATACAAGAGAATGGTTCTACTTTTATTGTAATACCATCAAAAAAAGGTAACATTATACAATGCACTTACTGCATTCTCTATATGAACAAGCACAAAAATATGACTGTAAACATGCATGCAAAGTAATATAGAAAATTCGTACAAGTTTCATGTACTCTGTACATCTAGCACTGAGTTTCTATTAAAATAATGGTATTGGTGAAAATAATGCATGCAATGTCATAAACAAGAGGTGCATGGGCCACAACACTCACCTGAGTAACTTAAACTCCATTGTTCAACATGTTTTTTAAAGATTTTTAAATTCCCATGAATAAAGAACTGAAATCCACAAAATTGAAGAATGTTTGCAAGTTAATGGTACTATTCTTAAATCATAGGTAATCAGAGATTACAGAGCTCACCTCAATGAATGTTTTCTTTAAGTAAGGCAAAGTCCCACACTAAACTAATAATCTAGTAATGTGCATCCCTAGATGCAACATTATGCAATTTTGGTTTGATATGGCTTGCTGCTTGGGAATGGACTTATTTAAAACTTAAAACTAGTCACACATCCAGAAAATGTAAGTTCAAATTCAGCATCTGAAGCAAGTTTGAGAGTGTTCGTCCCTTGATGCATCATCCATGCATGTTTGGTTCAGATAGGCCTTATAGTTACTTGGAAATGAGATCTGCTCCAAAAACTTTAACTTGGTCACTCATCCGGAAAATATAGGTCAGATCAAGCATCTGAAGCAAGTCCAGTAGTGTGCATCCTTAGATGTATCATCCATGCAAGTTTGGTCAATATAGGGCTTATAGTTACTTGGAAATGAGGTCTGCTCCAAACATTATAACCTGGTCACTCATCTGGAAAATGTAGGTCAGATCCAGCATCCGAAGCAAATTGCAGCATCTGAAACCTTGACTGGTACAATGAAACACACTAGAAGCATTCTCCATGCATCTGTGATTGATATAGGGCATAGAAGTATTTGAAAAGAAACCTTCTCCAAAAACTTTAACCTGGGATGCCGACGGTATTACGTAAGCTCCCCCAACTTCGTTGAGGTGAGCTAAAAATTCTTATTAAAACTTTGATCCCCTATCGTGCCCCACCCTTCCCGCTGGAGGCCATGATAAGAGCAATTTGCGGTAGAATCTACATAAGAAGGCTTTCATTAGTTGGAACTTTTCATGTCTATTGGTATTTGAGATTTATAACCTTTTGTTTTTATTCCCATGTAAATCTTTGATCCCCTATTGTGGCCCCACCTTACCCCTGGGGACAATGAATTGAACAATTAAGAATGTACACTATGTAAGGAAGCTTACGTATTTAGCACATATACTACGACAGGAAGCTTTCACCTTTTCTGGCCCAGTGGTTTTTTAAAGATGTTTTTAGCGACCAAACCCTTTTTGCCTTTGTTGATTATCTCTTCTTGGAAGGGGACATGACCCTTTATTTGAACAATTTTAAATCCCAAAGGATGCTTCGTGCCAATTTTAATTAAAATTGACCCAAAGGTTCTTCAGAAGAAGTTGAAAATGTGAAAAGTTTACAGACAGATGGACACACAGACAGATGCCAGACAATGGGTGATCAGAAAAGCTCACTTGACCTAAAAATCAAACAAATTAATGCTAGTCATGAAATAAACTTTCTAATTTTTCTAAGAGATTCACAATTGAATGTACAGCTAATAGTGATTCAGCCTTCAGTCTTGCTGCCACAATAAACAATGTAAATCTGATCCCATCACAATGTTTGGAGTGCAGATAGAGATATAAAGAGATAGTACCATTCCAGCTAGTGTGTACATATGAAAGAATAAAAATTATGCATCGTATTTGATAACACCTTCAGTTTTTTAAAATCTTGTAATCTCTTCCATAGCCATGTTCCTGAATCTATCTGCATACTCATAAATTCAAACATTTTAGGTTCACAATACAACTGACCAGCACCTTTTAGACATATTGTACAGCAATGGTTTCACGAGCACTTCCACTTTCCATTTTTGTGACATTTCATATCACCAAGTTAACACTTTCTCTGTGCCACATTTATTTTTCTTCTTTCCTTTCCAACCACTGAAGAATTGGTACATTGTATTTTGATTATGAATTTCTCTATATTTTTACTTTTTGAAAGCTACCATGGCGTCTACTTTGTGTATACTGGTTGTGAAGGACCTCAGTCTCACTTCCTCAGAATTAGCAATAAACTGAGGACCATCTTCACCCCATGACTCGGGAACATCAATGTCTTTATCTGTATACACCAGCAAATCAAAGGCACCTGCACAGTAGTGAAATATATTATACTTCCACACAGTTTAAAATAATGTATTACATTATACTTCCACACAGTTTAAAGTAATGTATTACATTACAGGTAACTCTCGATACCTCGAAGTCCGCGGGACCAAGGAAAAACTTCGAGAGATCAAGAGTTCGAGTTTTCAAGAGTCCGGAATTTTCCAGGTTTGTTGACAGGTTTTAAAATTAGTCTTACCAGATGTAATGATTTTCATGCGGTGCTAACCGTTTACACGTTTTTTTTTTTTTTTTTAAAAATATAAAAAAACGATATTTTTTCGTAATCCAGATGAATATTTCATCAAACTGAGTAAAGCAAAAAATGTATATCGTCATTTAATGTATATTTATTTATTCTTCGTAATACGGACATCATACTATGCATTTGTTACATGAAAACGACATTTTACAGCGTCGTACATACTATTCCAAAAATGATCATTGAACGCAGTTCTGTAAGTATTTGTCCAAAAATAGTCGTCATATTGACATAGAGGCTGTTTCTGCTTTTTTCATATTTCGTTTAACTTTGACACTGCACTCGAAATAAAAATTATATAAGTGTTTTGTCCTTTTATCAATTACTACTTTTCAATGACACTGCGTCTCTAAATTAATTATCGTAAGACAGTCGATGATAATTATTTTAATAGCATATAGGCAAAATATGATTAATTATCACCTTGCAGCATAAGTGTCACCTGAATAAACATCCCGTTCCCCGAGACCCGCGTCTTCTGCCTGGGGCCATTTAAATGTCCAGGTAAAGGTGCTAATTATATAATCTTGTATACAGATAGCCACTTCGAGGTGTCGAGGGTAAATTCTAATAGAATAAGCATAGCGGGACTGCATTTTGACTTCGAGGGATCAAGGATTTCGAGAGATCAAGAGTAAATTTGCTTAGTTAATTACTGGAAAAATTCAGGACCGGAGACTCACTTCGAGGAATCAAGAACTTCGAGAGATCGAAGTTCGAGCCATCAAGAGTTACCTGTATACTTCCACACAGTTTAAAGTAATACATTATACTTCCACACAGTTTTAAGTAGTGAAATACATTATATTTCCAGGCAGTGTAGGCAGAGAAATGAAATACAGCAGGTCAAATTTAAAAGAAAATTCTGTTGCCCTCTCCAGACAAACCGACAAAAAATGGCCAAACTCAAAACTTTTTTAAACCTCTGGGAAATGAATATTTATTGTTATTCGTTCCAGAAATACTTTCAATTTCAACAAATTTTGAAAATTCAGCACTGATGTTGAATTTTTCTGAAAAAAGGAAATTTACTAATTGCTACTGACCCAATTTTTTTTTTTCGTGAGTCGGGAGATGGCAAACAATTTTTCCCCCTAAAGATGGCCCTATACTTCCATGCAGTGTTGACAACAATTAACTGAAATGATAACATTCCCCTACTATAACAGAAAACTTATGACTAAATCATTCCAACCCCGCATGGCATAAGTTAGATCATTACTAGTACTACTATTTCCAAAATTTAATTAAAAAATCTCTTTCACGATACTTTTACCAATGCTGAAGCCCACAATAGTCAATTAATGTTTTGGAGAGTTTGGGGAGGCTGTGTGTGTTCCAAATGGTGATAATAAAAATGGCACTTCAGTATTACAGTACATGTTTATCATTTGAATTTAGAAATTAGTATTAACATGTACAAAAGGCTGCTCTAAATAAGATTTTCTTCCACTTATTAATTAAACATAATTTCAGAAGAAAACAAGAGATGTTTGTGAAACACTTATCATCCCTCCCCAATAATTGGAATTTTTTTAAGTCCAAGGGGCATAACTCTGTCAAAAATTGCTCGATCGTACCCAAAGCAAAACTTGACCTAGATATTCTTACAATAAATCTGTATACCAAAGTTCATTTCAGTATGTGCAATCTCTGCGAAGAAAATGAACGGAAACTGTTGGTGGATTGATAGACAGACCGACCGACCTACTGAAAGACAGTAGCAAAGCAATATGCCCTCCCTTCTTGAAGGGGGGCATAAAAAGGAGGGGGAAGGGGAATGTTTTTTTTCATCAATGAGAAATTGCTATCCATCAAGATGTTTATATTATCTGTAACATTTTCAATATACTGTATCAGTCATTTACTCCCAGAAAAAAAGTTAATACACAATGAGATACTAATGAACAGAAATCACTGTTGCTTACTTAAATGGGTGAAATACATCAGGCCTCTAAAATTTAGGCACCAGCTGGCGCCTTAACAAAAAAATTTAGTCGCCACGAAATTTTTCTAAGGTGCCAACTTTAAATGTTAATAGAATATAGAGACCCATGACATGCCTAAGAAAACATGACATGACCATTGCTAAAAATAATTTCCTCTCCTTTTAAATTTCTTTTTTTTTTTTCAGAAAAATGTGAAAATTTGCGGAATTCGATCATCGCCAAGTCATTTTAAAATGGTTGCCAATTTGGTGACTTACGGAAAAAATTTAGGCACCAATTAAAAAGTTTAGGCAAATTGTCGACTAAATTAGTCGCCTAATAGAGCCCTGTACATGTGAATAAAAAGTGTTCAATTAATTTAGCTTTATTTAAGGATCTAAAGGCAGTCCACTCTGCTTTCAAATATCATGGAATTATTATTTAACTCTTTTAGTGTATTGAGGGTCCATAACAGTATAGTTTTCATATGACATGTTTTCCCTTTGAGTTACTTCATTTGGCAGCCATCTTGAGGTAACCAAGTGATTTCTCTTCTTTGTCTTACTAAATTCAGAAATATTTGGAGGAAAATATTGGTAAAAAATTTGACTTAAAATAGGCTTTAACACAAGTGTATATTCTTCCGAAAACAATGTTCCTACACCAGAATGGCCAGTATGACAAGTTAAAATTGGTGAAGACCTCCAATATGGCAGGCAACTGGAAATAACTCTTGCTAAATTCATGTCTATCAAAAACCATCTATAAAAATTGAACATTTGGTACATGCTGTTGACTTACATGCTCCCTCTAGGAGAGGTAGGAATGTTACTGAGGCGGTAATCTGACGTATAACAGCACTGATCTCGCTATTGATTTCTTTCTCTGACTTCTCACGAGGTTTACTACAAATGGATCAAACATCAGCAAAATCTCATTTTAAATGCCACTGCACCAAAAAAGTCAATTTTTGTGATTCTGACTCAACCATAAGATTAGACCATAGAAAAACATTTTACGTCATATTTTTAAGTATAATTTTGGCATTACATTATATTTGATTTAAACACTAAAACAGCACAGTTCATTTAATGTGTATTTACACATACACACCCTAAAGAAGTTGGATACTAGCTGACTTAACAATACATTTGAGTTATTTTAACTAGCTTTGAATAAAACATTGGGTTACCTTTCTTTCAGGGCCAATTTGTCCCCTTCCACATCAAACTGCCACCTCTCCAGAACCTCATTTGTATCCACATCTTTAATGACAACTACCAATTTCTTTACCGTCATATTATACAGCCATTCTAGAGGGGGAAAAAAAAGGTCTCCGGCTCACATCAACAAGTTACCAATAGGTTCGACAAGACTTAACTTAACCATTAACTTTTCCCATTAATTAAATGCAATGGTCAATAACACCACACAAATGAAACAAGTGCTACTTATACAAAAATAGGAGGTACCTTGTGGGAACGATTTTAGTTAAATATGTTATGAAATATTTCTCAATTGAATATTTTGGCCAGTACAATTGTGATTTCAGCTGGGTTAAAGTACCAGGTAGCGCCAGGTTTTGAAAGGCCTGACTTCAGCTGTACATGTATAGCATTATAAATTCATTTAAGTTTTAACTTTGACATCTCCAATCTTAGGTAATATATCACTTTTTATTCATAAAAACATTATTTTTGCGTAATTACGTGAGACGTCTGCTTGCAAAAATTTCATTCTCGCATATAATTCTGCTCTTAAGGATTAAATAGAGCAATAACCAAAATTTGTGAAAATTTTGTTTCACTTATAAATACCAAACAACAATCTTGCGAAATTAAGGTGTCACGAAAATTAAGTGATCAACAGTATCTTGAAGTCTCTTTCTCCCATTATGTTCAAGGTAGTTAAGTAGTAATAGCTGACAATATGTCACATGATTATCTATACATGTATTCACCAAGTACTTTAAACAATTCTGACATATTTTATAAAATTGTTGTTGTTTAAATATTTTGAGTGGGTCTTTAAAATTTGTTGTCTATGTATTGTAATGTCCCACTGCATATTGTTAACTGCATTGAGAGGGCCTTGTGGAAAATTACTGCTTTGCAATATCAATTTTTCATCAATAAAATATCACTTATCACTGATAAGTATTACATGTATTCCAATGACACTAATGGAAAAAAGTTACTACTCTGGCATATATATCTTCGCTAGCCAAGGGTTTCTGATCCGCTACTCTTCTCACAAACCCTTGGCCTATGGTACTGTCAAAAGACGGGAATGTTTATGTCACGTGATCTCGAATCTTACCACATATTCACAGATTGTGTCACCGACAGAAATAAAAAGCAAATTTAAACATTTAAGTTTTGAGAGAATAATTATCAAGAAGGTATCGAGTGATTTTTTTTTTTTTTTAATTTTTTTTTTATTTTTTATTTGTTTATTTAGGGTGCAAATCTACATTTGTAATATAAATTCCTGATCACATTATTTGCACATCAACTTAATTAAGATTGGATGACACCATAGCTATTTACAGAATGGCATGTTATCTTACGGATCATTGTTTACTTGTGTTTTTCATTCCCAAGACTAAAGAGTCAAGATATATCCCAAACGCAAATATCTTCATTTACAAAAAGCAATTGCTGATTGGTCGAACTGTATCAATCAACTCCAATCACAACTCGAGAAAAAAATCCCTACTTTTGACAGCACCCTAGGCCAAGGGATTGTGAGAAGAGTAGCGGATCAGAAACCCTTGGCCAGCGAAGATGTGGCATATAAAGCATTTAAACATTGTGACTGCTTGGGAAAACAACGTATTTCAGCAAGTCATCAACTGAAAACAAGGGCAAATTTACTTGGGTAAAAGAGGATAGCCGGGACCAAGTATACCCCCCTTTTAAAAACTAGAGTGTTCCAAGGAACGCATGTGTCGCCTGCTTTGTAGCTTCATTAAAGATGTAAATAAATCATGGTCAGCTTTTTTATCTACTATTAGCACGATAGTTCATGCATTTGCCTCCAAAGAAAAAATGGCATCCATGGATAGTATAAGACTGTCAAAAAATCTGACAATGAAAGAAAATATGGTTCCCTAACCCTCAAATGAATAATCAAATTGAAATTATCAGAAATAACTATTTATCATTTTATTAATGCATGTTTCCAACAATCCTCTAAAAGAGATTTCAGTCTGTCTTGCAGGTTGCAACACAGTATTAAATTTTGCTATATATTCTTACCTAAAATGCACAACTTTGAGTAGGTGGTATTAAATTACAACAAACTTCTGAGAGGTTTCCTTTTCAGATCTTGTAAAACAATTCTTTATAAAGATTTTAGTACCAAGAAATACTTAGCCATCCAGCAAAGGCTCGCAAGGTTGTTACGGTCGAAGTCGAGCAAGTGCTTGAAAATCAAGTTCAGGACCTAATCACTCCCCACTCAAATACAGTATATAAAAAAAAATCAGCACACCCTAAATTATAATGAATCTGGTCAATACAGGAAGTTTACATATAGTTTACATATAGTTCTTCATTTCATAAAAAAAAATTCAGCTCCAGTCTCGTGCAAAAATGTCCGAATCAGGAGGGGAGATTCAGGAATTATTTTGCATCAGCCATGTTTTGAACCTCAACTGAAATACTGTTGACACCTTTACTGCAGACAGACAGAGCTCTAGACAGACGCCGGGTAAAGTGATCCCTAAGTGCTGCTCTGCTCTGCAGGCGACACAAAAATTAAAACTTACATCATTTTTATGAAATCACAGTTAAGGGTACTTTGCAATTTTGAATGAATATAATTGCAAAATGACACCCTTGATAGAAATGCTTCAAGTTGGTCATCAAAAATTTAATACCAGTCAAGGGCATCATGAAAACAAGTTATTTTTAAAATAATTTGTTTAAGTTATTAAATGTCATTATTTTGGGTTATCTTTCCCTGATTATGCTTTTCTTCAGTAACTTATTCCAGTTATTGATACTTTACTAATCATTATTTTAAACCTACTGGTATCTGAAAAGCTTTATTCATGCTGTAATTGGGTTATTAAGTAGATGGAAAAGGTTCATGACAGTAAAGTAATCTATCTTTAAGATTTAACAAGTTGAAATTCAACAAATCATAACTTATTTCAGTTATTTCAACCTTAACCAACCTCACTTTAAAACTCCTGCACAAAAATCTACAGCTTTGCACAAAAAATGTAAGACATAGAGATTGTACAGTAATATCCAAGGATTTTAGGAAAATTAGTCTCACTGTTGGCAAAATTGGCGGAAGTTGTGTAATTAACCTCTGAAGTGTTCATGAAATGGAATTATTTTTCCCTGAAAAATATCATGATATTTTGATAAATATCATCATATCTGCTCAGGAGATATGAAGTCTGTTGAGTCTACTAAAAGAAGTACATATATTTACAACTTACTCAGCCTTACATCATCTTAAATCAGCAGCAAACTCAAAATATTGATGTTTTTTGGCAAAATTGATAGGCATTCTACATTTTAAGAATTAACTCAAATGAGTTATTTCTTTGTATAGTAATAAATAAGTGAAGTAACCTAAAAAAGTTATTTTAAAAAATAACTTGATTTCATCATGCCCCTGACTGAATACTAAGAAGAAAAGAAATGGTAAATAGCTCTAATCTTAACTTAGATTGTATACTTTACCTACCTCTAACTTGTGAAATGACTGTATTTAGATACTTTTTTAACATGTCATCAGATGTAACAAGTAAAGTAAGACCATATTTCTGTACTCGTGTAAAACTCTCTGGTGGATAAATCCCTCTCTGGTATAATATACTGTTAATTCCATATGCTGCAAATTAGATCAAAACTGTTAATGTGATAAGGTAGTCAACAAATACAAAATAGATGTCTGTAAGAAAACTCCATTGAAAGGTGAGAGAAAGAAGCATTTTTCCACCATACATCTCTACTGTAGAAGTAAAATACCCCTTGTTTTCATTTTATAGTAACTCAACTGTAACACAATTGAAAATGACATACATGTGACAGAACTGAAAAATCACAACTGGAGATTTGAAATTTTTCAGCTGGAGTTTGGGTCTCAAAGCTGGAGATTTTTTATCGACATTTTTTCAAATCGCAAAAGACCATCCAACCCCCAAAATTCAGGAAAAAAATACCTTCTCCCAGTTTATTACTTTACAAATTTTATTTTATAAAGTTGTTGTCTAGTTTTAAGAAAAATATGATAAAGTTTTTGTTCAAATGAAGTGAAATTGAGTATTCAAAATGAAATCAACTCATTTCCTAGTAAATTAATTAAGAGTTAACAGCATCATTAAAACATTGGATAAAATTTTATTTTTCATTTAGTATTGATATATCAACTAGTAAGTGAAGTAAAACATAGCTAGGTTTTATGTAACAAATTCTATGTCAGTAATTTGTTTTTAAATAGAATATGTACATATGAAAAAAAGTACCCTCTAAAAAAATAAACAAATTAGAGTCAGGTATATTTTAGCAACACCCTGTAGTGTGATCTATTTTTAACTAGAGTGTGACCTACATGTACATTATAACTGTAATCTTTTAATGACCAAAGCAGCATTAGAAGATGGCAACTGGGTATTTTAGCAACTAATTACAATGTTTTGCATTCAGTAATAAACATCAATGGTCTTTTATCAAGTTGATATATCACTAATTTTTACAACATAATTATACGACCTCATGTTGATTCCTACGAAGCCTACCGCTCTGAAAATTTATTGCACTGGCTTTGTTATCTCAATTTCTTTTCATTCTAAGCAATTATATGAAATACGATCAAAAAATATTGCAAATAATATTTAATTTGAAGAATTTTAAAACATGGAAGATTTAAAAATTAATCGGGAGGGGCGGAAGGGGGGTGAAATATCGGGAGATTTTGTCTCCCGCCGGAAGAATCACATGTATGAAATGATAACCTATAACAATTGAACTTTGGTATCTTGAACACTGATATCTTGAATCCATCAGGTCCAGGAAAATCACTATATTTATCTATATAGCTTAATTTACCTATATAGCTTTATTTACCTATATAATATAGCTTTATTTAGCTATTTTAGAATAAGTTTATGTTTTATGAAAAGCAAACAAAAAGTCGCATGAAAATTATGGCTGATATTTTTTTAAAAAGGTTTGATAAAAACAACCTAGGGCATAGATAGTAAAAACATTGCCTCCTTTAAACACTTTTTAACCAAAAAATGCATCTCTATTGTTTGGATAGCTGTCCATTACTGGAAGTGCGATGAGGCATGACTAAGTGTGATTGCCTTGCATTGTGCTGAATTATTACCAATCATCTTGTTGACCAAAACTGCTTTTCTTTGTTAAAGTAGCTGCTTATTCACAGATTAACTGTTATACATAGCCCCAAAACTTTTAGATCTTTGATTGCAATTGCACAAAAGGAGAAACATTTTTAAAAGTGGGTTTTTGGTGAAATGTTTTCAGTCCATTTCAAAGTTGAAAACTAATACTGTCTCATTATGCGACTTTTTGTCTGCTTTTCATAAAACAAAAATTTACTCTGAAATAGCTAAATAAAGCTATATAGGTAGATTTAGCTATATAGCTAAATATAGTGATTTTCCTAGACCTGTCCATGTCGGAGTGATTTTTGAAGTTTCAATTAGCCCTTTCAAGATAACTGCAGTACTACTCTTTTGCAGGGCAAAATAACATTTGGCGAAGTTTTTGATGACAAATAATTAAATTACGAATATTTGACAATTACTTTTACATCATATTTCACCAAAATATATCATTTTGCCCTGCAAAAGGGCAGTACCACAGTAATCGTGAAACAGTTTATTTCTTCTTCATGTATTTTAACCTCGTCTTCAATGCAACTTAAGTGTGATATTTTCATGTATTGTTTTCAGATAAGTTCAAATTTTGAAAATTATCACTGCATCAAAGTGCGATTTTCTGCACATCTTAAAAAAATCGCTAATTTAAGAAATAAGTATGAAATAAGTATGATTTAGTAGCTAAATAAAGCTACTTCGGGTAGGTAAATAAAGCTCCGTATTCAAGCTACAGTATCTAAATGTAGTGATTGGACCATACCTGTAGAAAATAAGACGCATCTTACCTCATCACGATTTGTAATCGAGGTTTTTCCAAATCAAAAGCTGACAGACCGTGTACTAAAATGATTAAAGTGCATCAAAGCCTCAGATATAGATACTTACAAAAGAATTCAGCTACGATCTCAGTGGAGCCTCTCAGAGTAATTGCATTCGACGTTGCAGTCGCTGCCATCGTTAATTTTCCCGCCGATGTGTTGTTATTTTTCTTAATACCGATTCCGACTCTTATAAGAACTGGGTAAAAGTAGACACATTCTTGTTAGTTTTCATTGGGAAAAATGTACTCCAAACTTGTACAAAGAAGAAATTTATGGGACGTGCAGGAATTGAGAACACCCACATGCCAAAGATGTAAATTCTATAATAGGCTATATTAACTTGAATTACATGTAATGCGATGAACGAGAAAACAACAATAAGCCCATGGTCCTCAACAATCACCGAAATTCACCTTTGCCCTGTTGTTTTACAAAGATCCTCCATTTTATTCAGATGAAAAATTATCTGAACCTCAAGGGGTCGGGACTTAACCATGCCAGCTCACACATGTACTGATCTAGGGATGTTTCAATACCAATATAACTAACATTTTGTTCTGCTGAAGAAAGAATTTTACAGCCCCCCCCCCCTTCTCCTGTATATTTGCATAATGTAAATCTTAATTCCTGATATAAGCCCCACTCTAATCCCGGAGTTTAATATTTGAAAAGAAAATTGAACTACACAACTTGGGAATGTATATGCATAATAATTGATTCAGTATGGCACAGCTACTTTTGAAAAAAAAAATCTAAGTTTCCTACATATTTTGCATGTAAAACTTTGATACCCTGTCCTAGCCCTACCCCTGGGTCAACGATTTAAACAAACTTAAATCTGCACTACCTGAGGATCCTTGCATATATTACAAAATTAATGTAATATGACTAATCATGCCCCTGTTGTTCTTGAGAAGATTTTGCAAGATTGTTCCTATATATTCTTAATATACATGTATGTAAAACTATGATCCCGATCTGATTAAAATCAGATCCTGGATCCCTCCCCTTTTTTTTGTTGTAAAAAGGAGCGGATAGATCTCATTTTAATCAGATTATATTGTATAGGCACATCCTTTCCCAGGACAATGATTTGAAGAATATCTATGTACATGTATCCAACAAAGCAATGTTGGTCTATCCTTGGAAGTCATTACAACCATCTTTATAACTGGAAGTATATTACTTAAAGGAACAGACAAATATTTTATATTAATATAGAATTGACACCTTAGGCTTCAAAGAAATACCCATTCCTTTTCTGATATTTTAATTAGTGTCCAGCGAAAACAATCTTATTATAACATTTCTAATAGTTTAAAAATTATTTGCACTCAGCATCCACATTCACCAAAGTACTTACATGTCAAAGTGCATGAAATGAAACAATCACAAATTTTCAGAACTTGAAGAACAACACCTGCACCTATTAAAACATCTACACTCTACACAAAATACTCATCTTACAATAGCAGATAATGCTTTGTCAGGAAACTTTCACATAAATTTCATATTTTCTGGCACAGTAGTTCTTGTGGTGGATTTTGGGTGACCTCATCCTATTTTTGCCCTTTCTTGATTATCTTCCCTTGGACAAGAATATGGTCCTTCATTTTATTAAATTTAAATTCCCCACTCCCAAGAATATTTTGTGGTCAGTTTAATGGAAACTTGTCCAGTGGTTCTAGATAAAACTTAAATGTTTAGAAGTCAACAATTAATTGTAAGTAAATGATAAGGACTCACACCTCAGGATACAGACTGTTAGATGGTCCATAACTGTGGGTTAGGAAATTTATACAATACTCTGACTTTGGATTTTATCAAATTTATTTAATGAATTTATGAATACTGTAATAATTTTTCAAAGTCAGAACTTTTTAAAGACATTTAATAACAACCACTAATATACCATCTTCTTTAGCCAGGGGTTTCTGACCCGCTGCTCTCATCTAAAACCCTAGCTATGGTTTATGAGGAGAGTAGCGGACCAGAAAATCCTTGGCTAGCGAAGATGCTGGCATACTTGTACATGTAAGTATAACAAAATACCCAGACTGTAATATTCAACATTCCAAAGAACTCCGCTTGAATATACTTATCACACCACACCCTCTACAATTATCTCAGAAATAACGAAATAAATAAGAAACTGTAGTGTCAAAATAAAATGTTAGTATTGTTAAGAACTTCCGTCCCCTGTCCGAAGTTTTCTCAATTGGATCACTTTGGCTGGAGTCTTCTTCATGTCGTAGGCTTGTCCTAAGTAATACATACAATTAATGAACACTGTGGTTATATTTAGATGCCAGCCGTACTCGCTGGTGGAATAGTCACTGGGGAAAGTGTGATGGTAGTTATGGAAGCCCTCACCCACTGCACTCAGGGTCACGCCCAAATTCTCAGCTGGGTTAATCCGTTTATCGTAAGGTCTTGTGCCCCATAAATGGGCAAAACTGTTCACAGACCATGTGGCGTTAAGTCCAATACAATAGCGTAAGATGGCGGCAAGAAAATACGCATTCCACAAGGATTCTCCCCAGAAATACCAGGGAACAACTGAGGGTATGATGAAACACAGTAAAATCATCAGAGGAATGTAGAACCTGTAAAAATGAAAATGATCTTGCAGTAATACTTGTATTATTTATATTATAAATGAACCTGGGTTATAAATCAAAACTTTTTTTCAAACTGTCACAAATATACTTTCATATCTATTGTTCATTTAACAAAATTTACACAAAGGTACCTTCTTTGAAACATGACAATTTTGTCAGCATAAAGATCAGAAAAGTCGAGACGGCTCCCTTTCTCCATTACATTCGGGTGTTTTCTGACCAGCAGCCAGCCGATGTGGGCGAAAAAGAAGCCTCTCTTGGCGTTGTGTGGATCAGCATCTGTTTCTGAGTATTTGTGATGGACTCGATGGTCACGTGACCAGTCAAGTATGTCATTCTACAAAGTAATTAATCGTTTTCATTAAAATAAAAAAAACTTTAAAAATACATGTATATATTAATTTTCCTACATTGAGCAAGTGCCAAGTAAACTAGTTATAATTGTAACGGTGACCGTTACAGATGTTCCCCAAACGCTCCCCAACTCCCTTTTGGTGACTTTTTTCCTGTAAGCTTCATTAAATAGGGCAATGAAGTATATTGGTCATTTTTTGCATTTCACGCGCTCGCACGTGCATGAATGTGCAGGATGACCATGTCATCCCGTCTATACTATATGTGCATCTTTATATTCTCAGTATCAAAACATTTCATCAAAAAATATATAAGTTCCGGCTAAATCAAGCATATTGGTCATCTTAGCATTGCGCGCACGCGCACATGCATGCATGTTCATAATGACCATGCCATTTTGTGTACACTTATAATATGTCTGTTTATTCATAGTATCAAAGCTTTTCATCAAAAAATATAAAAGTTACGGCTGTATTAAGTATATTGGTCATTTAACACATTGCACGCGCGCGCATGTGCATGCATGTGCATGATGGCCAAATCATCTTGTCTACACTTTTAATATATCTATGTATTCTTAATATCAAAGCTTTTCATAAAAAAATATAAAAATTACGGCTATATTAATTATATTAGTCATTTAACACATTGCACGCGCGCGCACGTGCATGCATATGCATGCATGTGCATGATGACCATGTCATCTTGTCTACTCTTTCTATATATATAAATATTTTGAGTATCAAAGCATTTCATCAAAAAGTATAAAAGTTACGATATTATCAAGTAAATTTGTCATTTTACGCTTTGCGCGTGCGCGCACGCGCATGCATGTGCATGTTGACCATGTCATCTTGTTCACACTTTTAATATATCCTTATATTCTGAGTATCAAAGCATTTCACCAAAAAATATAAAAATTACAGCTATATCAAGTATATTGGTCATTTTACCCATTGCACGCGCACGCACGTGCATGCACGTGCGCGCAAAATGACCTTTGTTCCGCAAATCTACATAACATGCCTATTAACCCTAAAAAGGTTTTAACTCAATTGGATGAGCAGTTTCCGAGAACACTCGCGGACAAAAAAGTACCGGAGAAGAAATAAGAAGAAAAAAGAATAATAATAATAACTAGACTCTTGTTGCCATGGCAACAAAAAAGTCTTCCGTTCTTCTAAATCTGTGAGAATTTGCTTTTTTTCTGTGTAAAAAACATACGTATCATATACTGTGAAAGAAAAAAAAAACTGGAAAAAAGTCCTTTCAGTACTTAAGGTACTTTGATTTTCATTATCAATCTTGCATAATACATTTGGCACCTATAAGAGATATACGTATATCATTACCAATTTAAAAAAAAATTGTTTGCAATCATTTCTAAGACAAACAAACAGACGAACGAACACCGTACTATCATAAACTTCACTGTGTGTATGTCTTGGCATAATTGTGTTGGTGTTATAAAAAAATATAATGAATTAAGTTAGTATCACATTAAACGTAAAGTCACTGAGTTTTGTAAAGTTATAATATCAAGATTTGACAGCATACCTATAAGACAGATTATTCAATTACAGTAATTCTTCAGCAATCGATTGATTGATTGATTGATTATACGTATGTTGTTTAACGTCCCTCTCCAGAATTTTTCACTCACATGGAGACGCCACCACTCGCCGGTGGAGACTGCAAATTTTTGTCCTATGCTTTGGCACTTACCGCAATTGAGCAGTGAGGAATCTTTTTTATGCCAGCACCTTCTGCGACAAGGGACCTCGATTTATACGATCTCATCCAAAGGACCGGTCTCCACGTCCCACAGTCGAAGTTCATAATACCGAGATATTTTATTTTTTATTTTATTGTATTTTTTTCACAAGTTTGTTGCATCAGATTTACTTAAAGATCATACTTCAATATCATTTCGAACTCAGGCTACTTAACTGCAGTGCATACAGCGTCAAGTGATTTTGATTGACAGGTCAACACACATGCACTTCGTGTGATACTTTTTAAGCTGAAAAATATACAGGATGTGACCATGACTGACTATGAAATCAAAAAACATTTAATAAAGAATGGGTGTGACCGATATAGAACTAATTTTTGGTCTATGTAAATGGATAGGAGGATCGGGATTAAGAGGGAATCTCTCTCTCTCTCTCTCAGACGTAAATTGAACATTTCATAATGACAAAGCTACTATTATAGAATATGAAATTCTGTATACATGTAAATGGTTATTATATATATTCACATGTTCCAGATTTAAATCTAAAACGAATATATAATTCAAATGCCTAGCTGCACGAGCGTCTCCAAATATTAATCAAGACGGGGGGGAGGGGGCTTCAAAGGAATTAGATAGTTTTATGTTTATGAATTATAAGGAAAAGTACGGACGTCAGTTAATGAACATAATTATATATCATTGCATAAAATTGTGTTCATTCAGGTATACTTATCCCACATATCAACAGACCTGTGCAATTTTTTTTTTTCATTTTTTTTTTTCAAAAGAAACATAGCGTACCATTATTTCACACAGAATCGCGTTTTCACATATTTTTTTTAACTCTTTGAGTATTTCACAAGAATCCAAGAATCGTCTTTTCACATATTTTATAATTCTTTGGGTATATAGAGTATATATCATGTGTCATAAATAATTTATCTTTTTATCAAATATACATGTAATAACCAAATCTAATCTATAGATTGATTTTCTTTCTTTTAAGTGGCAGATATCAATTTATTTATAAAGGCTTTAAAACAGTACTGTATTACAATTTTCTATCGCTCAGCTCCTGTTTGAGTGTATGTAATATTTTTCAATATCGATCGGAAATCGGGATAATTTCGCATTCAAATCATAGAGAATAATAAATCGTCTGCATTATAGAAGGCTTATAACTATCGTATTCTGAACTTACTATACGAGATAGATAAAATTGCATGCCTGTCCATCACTATAAATGTATATTCAGTGCTTATAATATATTTACTTGAATTAGGTACCTAGCATATATATTAATTATTTTTTTTTTTTAGATATATTCATGTGTAAATCAATTAACTGTCAATACAGACTTACACTACACTGGCAACTTTAAACTATACATGCACTGGAAGCGGTAACCAACGTACTCTTACATTTAGAAGAATGAATATAGAACGTCTAAATATTTTGATATGGAGAGTGTATATGTCTCTGACGTCATCGATACTATTTCCGCCTTTATCTCGAAAGTTCTATTCTCACTTACAAGTCAGAGTTATCTTTCTTTGCCCATTGTTTACACACTAGGTAACTAGGAAAAATGACTGTACCGAAAATCTGCAAAATGTGGAATCTGATTTCAAAACAAATTATATATTTAGTATTTGTAGAATAACCTCTGTTATACATAATAATATCTTGAAAAAATGTTAAAAAACAAAGAAGTTGAAAATTGACCAAACACAAATTCACTTCCGGTTCGGACAGGAAGTACCGGAAACACACGAAAACAATTTCGAAACAAAGAGAATGTCATGATCTAATACTCCTGTAAATTTCACATCTTTACCTCAAACCGTTTCCGAGAAAAATTCCGGACAAAAGTCCATTTAAAAATTGGAAATTCGGCCGTAACTTCGGACCGGAAGTGAATTTTTCAAAAAACGGAATTTTATATAAACTTCATATATCAGCCTACTATCATGTGAAAAATTGTGAAAATCTATCTAACCGTCTCTGAGTAATCGCGCTCACAAAATTTGGGAGGAATAATAATAATAATAATAATAATAACTAGACTCTTGTTGCCATGGCAACAAAAAAGTCTTCCGTTCTTCTAAATCTGTAAGAATTTGCTTTTTTTTCTGTGTAAAAAACATATATATCATATTTACTGTGAAAGAAAAAAATAACTGGAAAAAAGTCCTTTCAGTACTTAAGGTACTTTGATTTTCATTATCAATCTTGTATAAAACATTTGGCACCTATAAGAGATATACGTATATCATTAGCAATTTAAAAAAAAAATTGTTTGCAATCATTTCTAAGACAAACAATCCGTACTATCATAAACTTCACTGTGTGTATGTTTTGGCATAATTGTGATGGTGTTATAAAAAATATAATGAATTAAGTTAGTATCACATTAAACGTAAAGTCACTGAGTTTTGGAAAGTTATAATATCAAGATTTGACAGCATACCTATAAGACAGATTATTCAATTACAGTAATTCTTCAGCAATCGATTGATTGATTATACGTATGTTGTTTAACGTCCCTCTCCAGAATTTTTCACTCACATGGAGATGCCACCACTCGCCGGTGGAGACTGCAAATTTTTGTCCTCTACTTTGGCACTTATCGCAATTGAGCAGAGGGGAATCTTTTCTATGCCAGCACCTTCTGCGACAAGGGACCTCCATTTATACGATCTCATCCAAAGGACCGATCTCCACGTCCCACAATCGAAGTTCATAATACCGAGATATTTTATTTTTTATTTTATTCTATTTTTTCACAAGTTTGTTGCATCAGATTTACTTCAAGATCATACTTCAAGATCATTTCGAACTCAGGCTACTTAATTGCAGTGCATACAGCGTCAAGTGATTTTGATTGACAGGTCAACACAGGTGCACTTCGTGTGATACTTTTTAAGCTGAAAAATATACAGGATATGACCATGACTGACTATGAAATCAGAAAACATTTAATAAAGAATGGGTGTGACCGATATAGAACTAATTTTTGGTCTATGTAAATGGATAGGAGGATCGGGATGAAGAGGGAATCTCTCCCCCCCCCCCTCTCTCTCTCTCAGACGTAAATTGAACATTTCATAATGACAAATCTACCATTATAGAATATGAAATTCTGCATACATGTAAATGGTAATTATATTCACATGTTCCAGATTTAAATCTAAAACGAATATATAATTCAAATGCATAGCTGCACGAACGTCTCCAAATATTAA